GCTGCAAGGCTTGGGGCGTGCTAAAGGGGAGGTAGGAGGCACGCACAGCCCCTAAGGCTAGGGTGCACCAGGTCACCCGTAGGGAGTAGGAGCCTGGACAGTTATAACATCCAGGACTAGGAGATCAAAGGCAGCCTCCCATATTAAATTATAGGTCATCAAAGACGTGGTGGGCGAGAATCGGAGGGTGCTGGATCTCCTAATTTGGCACGGCAGGGGGTGTTAGCGGGATCACGGCCGCTCCCTAGGGCCCACCCTGTAACACTAGTGTTTGCTACAAAGCAAATTGTGAAACAGTCTGTGTCAGGGGATCCCAACCAGAAAGGTTCTTGCATCTTTTAGCCATTCCAGACTGCAACATCATTCATATTCCCCAAACAACCTAGATACTTCTAGAGCAGGAGTGGACAAAATGTGGCCCACCAGGCCATTCCATCTGGCCCATGGGGCACCTAAAAAAAATTTAGAAAATTAATATTTATCTGCCCCTGCCTGCCTGTCATGCGGCCCTCAATGGCTTGCCAAAACTCAGTAAGCAGCCCTCTGCCCAAAATAATTGCCAGCCCCTGTTCTAGAGCCTTGCCCTCCACAGAAGCACAGAATTGTCTTCCTATTGTTTTCTCCAGCCTTAGCAAAGTTAGATCCTGCCTGAAAGAATAGGAATATTTCATCGTTTCCCTGCATTTGACCCACATTTACTATTTTGAGGCTATCATAGATTTTTTTTTTTTTTCAAAAGAGATGTTTTCTCTTTCCAGTCACTGAACAAACTGTTAAAAAAGACAGTAAGATTAACAAAAGGCAAGACATGTAGACCCTTAAAACTCCTCTAGAGATGAGTTCTACGTAAGTTGCATATAGGTGAATTCTGCAATATAACCACAGGTTTTAGGTACTTTTCTTACCTCAGTTCGATTGAAGTCCCTGGTCTGTTGGCTGACTGGCAATGACTCGGAATAAGAATCAAATAATGCACAGTCACGTATAGGCTTAAGAGAAGCTGAAGGGAAAGACAAAGAGACACACCAAACCTTTCATTAATAACACATACATTTTCCATGTACTCTATCATCATTTTGTCTTCCATCTCTTCATATTGCAATTGATCTATATATCAATGTGACAAGTACTGTACAAAAAATGGTTTTCTTTTGTATTTTTGAGAGCTTTAAAATTAATGCCATGTGAAGATGTGAATGACTACAGCATATCTAAATAACAACAGTGGGACATTTGGTAATACTTGACCCCTAGAACAGTTCTGGCTGATATTTTATTTGTTCTTCTCTGCCATATGAACTAATATATTTATAGAAGGCTTTACAGTTCATGTAATGGAGTTCTATAAAGGTAAAATATTAGCAGCAGGCCTTCAGCTCCCCACTTGGTCATCCAGAAGTGAAAAACCTATTAGAATCTACAAAAATGGCTGGTGAAAAGCTTAAATATTAATCAAAAGAAAACATTACTTTCATTCCAACCTTTGTAGTCTTCAACCAGACGAGTATGAAGAACAACTAATCAGCCAACCACTTTATTAACGTAATAATCACACTAGCCTTATTTCTGTTCTGTGTACACAGATCCTTCTGCTAATATTCTCAGGGGTTAGTCTTTCTGAAAGAAACCTGTATTAGCAGCTGGAAAAACCTATTTTATTATTAGGATCAATATACTGAAAGCAGAATAACTCTTTCACAGGGCCAGCTACTTGTTTTATTTGGCATCTTGTTCCCTCAGACAAATAAAGATTTTACAGATTGGAGTTTTTAAAGTTTGATTAGTAAATAGGGCTAATAATATCAGAGATTTTTTTTTCCCAAGAAGCTTTCAAAACAAAAAACTGAGGGTCAGATTTTAATGGAGTTATGCCATCTTTAAGTTTGTTCTTCATTTGTCATGCATTTAAAAAAAACATAAAAGCAGCAACATTCATTCACCCTCTAACAACTGAATAAAATGTAAAATATCGTGCTTGAACCTAATGGACAAACAACACAGACAATAACACCTCAATCTCATTCTGAGGTCAATATGTCAAATTAATGAAAAGTATTTTCCATCTTCAAGAGGCAAGGATTTTCTGTGATATCTTTTATTGGACCAACTGTATAGTAGGAAGAGGCAGACCCCGGCTGAGCTAAGTAATTTAACTAAATTTAGCAGAGCTCATACTCATCTCTATCATCATTTTGTCGTCCAGCTCTTCATGTTTGTACATGTCCCTTGTACATTTCCTGGACCAGAACCCTACTTCAGTCTTTAAGACGTTCCGGAACAGACAAATAAAACCTTGGTTTCATGTAGCAAACTGTATTAAGTGGTTTCTCACAAGGAAAAAATGGTTTCTTTTTAAAGAAAAGAAACTTTGTAGTTCAAAGTCAGTATTTAAAGAGTCTATTTCATATAGAATCCCATGCCCCACTTTCCCCCACTATCGGCACCTCCTCTCCTTCCTTCCCTCCTCAGCAGCACATCCCCACCTCCCTGTTGATCCAGGAGTGGGACAGAGGAGGCTCCACAGTCACTCCTGCCCTGGTCCAGCTGGGAACAGCTGCAGCAGCAAGAGGATTACTTCTCTCCACTTTGTCTCTCCAGATGTTGCCTACCATCCTGGAAGCAAGTGCAGAGGGGCGAACCTACCTGCCACCACCACTGCTGTCCCACTACAAGCCAGAGCAGCTCTAGAGCCCCACAACCTTTCTAAACCACAGCCAGGAGGGAA